GCGGCGCTCCCTCAGCACTGAACCTCCGACAGTGCCCACTCCCTCAGTACTGACCCTCCGACAGCGCCCGCTCCCTCAGCACTGACCCTCTGATTTTGGGAGCGGGGATTTTGAGGAGTTGAGGAAGGGATGTGACGTAGAGATGTCCCTCACCTGGTCCGCCCCGAACGGGGTGATGTTGGATCTGACGCAGCCCACAGCTAGGCCTACAACCACTAGGCCCGAGTAGATGAACCCTCGGCAGTAATCCGCGTCCCCAGCAGTGCCACCATCCCCGGTGGATGGGGGCCGGTGGGTGAAGTCGGGTAGGCCTCCAGTCCATCGCCGGGCCCCCTCCTCCCCTTCGCCGTGGCGTCCCGCCGTCCTGTTGCCGCAGAGTAGGGCCCGGGTCCGCGGTTCGGCCGTCAGCGGCAGGGCCAGCATCCCGAAGAGGTAGAGGGCAAGGCCCGCCGCCACGGTACGGTAGCGGCCCAACCACGCATCTGCCAGCCAGCCTCCGAAGGGTGAGGCCAGGTAGGCCGCGCCGGTGAACACCAGGCTGGCACTGGTGGCCCTGGGGCCGTCCCAGCCGAAGGCCGAGCCGTTCAGGTACAGCACCAGGTTGCCCACCACCGCGTAGAATGCCAGCCGCTCCAGGGCCTCCACCGCCAGCACCGCGCCGCACGCCAACCTCCGGCCCTTGAAGGCCCCAGGCTCCACGGGCGCCTTCTCCGGACCCCGGGCCAAAAGGGGGCGCCTCTCCCCAGCACGCTCCATTGCCCTATTGCTCTCTGTCTCTCTCTCCCTCTCCCTCTCTCTCTCTCTCCCTCTCCCCTTCTCTCTCTCTCTCTCTCCCCTTCTCTCCCCCCCTCTCTCTCTCTCTCTCTCCCCCCACCTCTCTCTCTCTCGCTCCCTGTCCCCCTCTCTTTCCCAAGCTCTCTCTCCCCCAATCTCCCTCTCTCCCCCACTCTCCCTTAGCTCGCTCCGCTCCCCACTCCACCCAGCGCTCGATTTACTCCGATCCGAGTTGTCAGCCTCCTGTGGGTAACAGTTCCTCTTTCTCTTTCTGTCTCACACGGCCCAAACCTGTCTCCAGTCCAGTTACTCTCAGCCCCCTTCACCCCTCACCCCCACCCCCACCAGCCACACCATCACCACAGTCCTGGTATCTGAGATAGAGGGAGCGAGAGACAGAGAGAGAGAGACAGGGAGAGACAGACAGAGAGAGGGATAAAAGAGAGAAGGAGAGAGACAGGCAGAGGTTGTGAGAGAGAGAGAGAGATGGAGCGAGAAAGAGCAATGGAAGAGAGAGAGAGAGACAGGGAGTGAGAGATAGGGAGAGACAGAGAGAGAGAGAGGGATGAAAGAGAGAGAGAGAGACAGACAGAGCTTGAGAGAGAGACAGAGATTGAGAAAGAGGTGGAGAGAGAAAGAGCAACGGGAGAGAGAGAGAGAGACAGGGAATGAGAGATAGGGAGAGACAGACAGAGATGGAGAGAGAAAAACAGGGGATAGAGAGAGACACAGAAAGCGAAGCAGTGAGAGATAGGGAGAGACAGAGACAGAGATTGAGAGAGAGACAGAAAGAGAGAGATTGAGGGAGAGAAATGGGGAAGGGAGAGACAGGAAGTAAAGCAGTGAGAGATAGGGAGAGACAGAGACAGAGATTGAGAGAGAGAGATGGAGAGAGAGAAATGGGGAAGGTGGGGTGGTAAGGAGAGAGAGAGACAGGGAGTGAAGCAGTGAGAGATAGGGAGAGAGAGTGAGACAAATTGAGAGACAGAGGAAAAAACAGAGAGAAAGATGGATAAAGAGAAACGGGGAGAGAGAGAGAGAGTCAGGAAGTGAAGCAGTGAGAGATAGGGAGAGACAGGGAGAGAGCGTGAGAGACAGGGGGTGAGGCAGTGAGAGAGAAGTAGACAGAGAGAGACAGGCTTAGAACATAACGGGAGAGAGGGAGCGAGACAGAGAGAGAGCAAGACAGGAGAAGAGAGAGATAGAGAGAGAGACAGGGAGGGAGAGTGACCGCATGGGAGAGCTGGAGAGTTTGAGGGTGAGAAACAGGGAGAGAGAGCATGAGAGAGATACTGAGAGATATAAGAAGAGAGAGAGAGAGAGACAAGGAAAGACGAAGAAAGATAGGTGCGGGAGAGAGACAGACAGACAGGGAGAGAGAAAGAGAGGGGTGTGAATAGAGACAGCGAGAGACAGTGGTGGGGATGGGGGTAAGAGAGAGAGAGAGAGGCTGTTTACAAACACCACTGAAGCTGGGGATTTGGGAATGGGTGGGCTGGGTAGGTGGGGGTTGTTGGGTGGTGGTCAGGGGTGAGGAGGAAGTGGCCACAGACTGAGGGGGGAAAGTCAGTCATACTTGGAAATGTGCAGACAGAGGTGGGGGAAGGAACTGGCCACCAGGGGTGAGGGGAGGTGATGGCCTACTGGTATTATTGCTGGCCTATTAATCCAGACACTCAGCTAACGTTCTAGGGACCTGTGTTCGAATCCTGCCACAGCGGATGGTGAAAATATCTGGAATTAAGAATCTAATGATGACCATGAATCCAATGCCGAATGTTGGGAAAACCCACCTGGTTCCCTAATGTCCTTTAGGGAAAGAAACTGCCATCCTTACCTGGTCTGGGCCTACATGTGACTCCAGACCTCACAGCCAACATAGTTGGCTCTTAACTGCCCCCTGGGGCAATGAGGAAGCATGGACGAGTTGGGCCAAAGGGTCTGTTCCCATGCTGTATGTTTCAATGACCTTGGGGGCGGAAATATGGATCCAGGAGGGGGTAACACTAACCCTCTCTATTTGGGCTGATCGGCCGAGAAAGCCTCAATCTGAGTCCACCAAGTGCCCCCTGCTGATGGCCAGCTCAATTTGCAGTCACTGCTTCGCTCCCTGTCAAAGTGGGATCTTCCTGTGCACTGCTCGCTGGCAGGGTTCTGCATGCTCCTGTAGCTGACACACCTCAATGTTACTCCATCGCCCACAGATGAGGCACTTCCTTACTTATGTTTCTCCCTTTTCTACCCCAACCCCCCCACTTTCACCCAT